AGTGCAAATGTTTTCAGTAAATTATATATATATTTATTTATTTATTTATTTATTTATTTATTTATTTATTTTAAAAACCTCCCTCTGCAGTGGTGGAATTCTGCCACCAAAACTTGCTGCCCTGCAACATCCTGTGTGCTTGTAGCCCAAATGAATTCCATTCACTGTCTACCAGCGAGCAAAATTTGGCCGGAGGAATGCATTTGCTAATGAGTATCTCTCTTTTTTGCAGTTCCAATTAATAAGTCTCTGGTCTTGCTGTACGTTTGACAAGCCGCTTATCCCTCTGCCGCCAGAGTTATGGAGCTCCCCTTCCGGAAAGACTTGGAGAAGTACAAGGACCTTGACGAGGACGAAATCCTGGGGAAGTTGTCGGAAGAGGAGTTGAAGCAGCTGGAATCCGTGCTGGATGACCTTGACCCAGAGGTGAGTATTCAGCCAACCAGACCAGCTCCTGGCCACTAAATTAGATTATCCTGTTCAGGGGCAATAGGGAAGCAGTGTGGATATTAGATGGCCTATCTACAATAGCATAACTGGGTATGCATCCAGAGCCTCTGCTTGCTGGTATAAAAAGGGCATGCGAGTGAGCTCTTCCAAGACCTTCATGTAGTGATAGAAATAATACAGTTTTTATTCACGCAGTGCACGGATCCTGCTGCCACCCAGGAACAAATGCAAGTTATGTGAAATAATATTGTGCAGCATTTACATAGCACGTCTGAGTGTTGGAAGCACTTCATATATGCCAGTTTGGTGTAGTGGTTAAGAGTGGCAGACTCTAATCTGGAGAACCAGGTTTGATTCCCCACTCCTCCACATGCAGCTGCTGGTGTGACCTTGGGGCAGTCACAGTTCTCTCAGAGCTGTTCTCTCAGCCCCACCTACCTCACAGGGTGTCTGTTGTGGGAAGAGGAAGGGAAGGTGATTGTAAGCTGCTCTGAGACTCCGAGTGAAGGGCAGGGTATAAATCCAACTCTTCTCCTCCTCCTCCCCTCCTCCTCTTGATGTTACCCTTACAACAACTCTGAAAGGTAGGCTGATATGAGCTCTGGGTTAGGAGGGACTGAAACTGGAAGAGAGGCCGTGGCTTGCCTACTAACTCACTAAGTTTGTGACTGGCATGAGGCTTGAACCTGGAAAGACCTCCTAGATCACATCTTGTCCGTCTTCACAACTATACACCAGCTCTCCTTAAGGTTGGATCCAGAAGTCAGTGCCTTAAAAGTACCTGCAAAATAAAATGATTCTGAGATGCTGATTAAATATGTGAATAAAGGGGGAAAGCTTAAGCACCAGAGTAGGGGGAGTTCAGTGGAAGAAACAACAAACGGCCGAGAAAAGATTTTGAGTGCTCTGCCATTCGATAGGTTGTTCAACCAAGATGCCCACCTGGACTTTATCCTAGTGAACATCCAAGGTAGATAATTTCACAGGGCAGCTGTGCTCGTCTGCAGGAGAACAGCTGGATTTGAGACCAGTAGCAATTTAGAGACCAAGCCGATTTGCGGGGGGATGAGCTTTTGAGAGTCAAAGGTATCTGTTGAGAGGAGCTTTGACTCCAGAAATTTCATACCCCCAAAATCTGGTTGGTCTTTAAGGTGCTTCTGGACTCCAATCTAGCTATCCAGGGGAGATGAATCCACAGCCTTCCAAGGCAGCTTATTCTGTGGCTAAATTCATAGGCGTAATCTTCGTGGGGGCGGCGGGGCTTCAGCCCCCGCCGAAATTTTCAGGAAAGTGCTCAGCCTCCCCCGGGAGCCACCCTTGCTCCTAGCAAAGCAATGCCTCTGGCCCAGCCCCAGCCCCCCCCGGGAAATTGGAAAGTCTACACCCTTGGCTAAATTGTTGGATTAAGTTTTTCTTCCCCGGAATTCTAGTTCACTGTCGAGTACAAGATGTATAGGTTGCCTCTGGCTCTGTTAGTTAATTATTGCCGGGTGATCTGATGAATTTTATAGCAATCGGTACAGGATTGTATTCTATATAGCAGGACAGGTAGATAATTGGTCTTATCAGCACCAGGAGCAGCAGCTGCTCTCAGTGCATATATAGGAGGAATGGCTCATTTATTTAGCCCGCCAGCGGTCTGAGGCTCAAGCGAAAACTGGCTGGTGCGGCGATGCCTGGGCAACAGATTCCGGTGCTCCTGGGGTGGGGAAAGTAGGGCGGTGGTCCAGGCAGAGAGTCAAGGGAAGGACGCTGAGAAACAGAATGGCTCGGCGCCCTTCCAGCCTGCGACCCATCCCGAAGGTTGTTGGCAGTGGGGCTAGGATTGATAACCCCCACCGACATTGGTTTTGTGCAACGCCAGGTCTATAAATAATAAGACCACAGTCCTTTGGGACTTCCTTTTGGAACAGAAGGTAGACCTGGCATGCGTGACCGAGTCCTGGGTGCGGGACGGGGAGACTGTAGCTCTCATCCAGCTTGCCCCTCCTGGGTTCTCGGTCCTACACCAATCATGGACTAGGGGGCGGGGGGGGAGGAGTGGCTATTTTCATTTGGGAGGCTTACTCCTTCAGGGCGCTCCCGCCACTGGAGATCATGGGCTGAGTGTGTCAGTCTGGTGCTGGAGGCCGAGGAGAGTTTGGCAGTTTGGCTGATGTACCGACCGCCTAACACACCGGCCAATAGCTTAGACGGTTAGAAAGACGGTGGCGCCGGGCTCGAGACGAAGCAACAAGAACATCTTATAGGACATTTATGAGATCCTATGAGATGACAGTCAAAGTCGCTAAGAAGGAGTTCTATGAGGCTACAATTGCGTCCGCAAGTTCATGCCCAGCTCAATTATTTAGAACGATTCGGACGATAACAGCTCTGCCACAGGGCAGACCAAACGTTAGGGAATTGGATATCGGCTGCGAGGCATTTGCGAGCTATTTTGCGGATAAAGTCTTGGCGCTTTGCCACAACCTCCCCACCACAGTTGATACAATGAGTGAACTTGAGGCCCTTTGCACATCTTCGATTCCAGCTTTGAATTCTTTCGGCCTGCTCAGCCTCGACAGATTGCTCAAGACTGTATGCCCAACCACATGCAACCCTGATCCGTGCCCTTCCTGGCTGATTAAAGCCAGCCACGAAGGGTTTTGAGGTGCCCTAAGGGAGATTATCAACAAGGGGGCACTCAAGGAAGCGACGGTCCGCTCTCTCTTGAAAAAGCCATCTCTGAATCCAGCCGAACTGGCCAACTATTGGCGGGTTTCCAATTTGCCCTATTTGGGCAAATTAATCTAGAGGGCGGTGGCGATACAGTTGCAGAGCTTTCTGGATGATGCTTCCGTATTAGATCCCTTCCTGTCCGGCTTTTGCCCAGGACACGGGACGGAGACAGCGCTGGTCGCCCTTACTGATGACCTCCGGAGGCATCTGGATCAGGGTGGTTCGGCAGTACTGTTGTTGTTAGATCTGTCGGCCGCGTTTGACACGGTAACCACCAGCTACTAACCCACCGCCTCGCCGACATGGGGATACAGGGGCTTGCCTTGCAGTGGCTTGTTTCTTTTCTCCAAGGTTGGGGACAAAGGGTGGCGCTAGGGGAACAGCAGTCCCGGAGGCACCGGCTCGAGTGTAGAGTGCCTCAGGGGGCGGTGCTTTCCCCGATGTTCTTTAACATCTATATGCGCCCCCTTGCCCAGATTGCCCGGAGGTTTGGGCTGGGATGTCACCAGTATGCTGATGACACCCAGCTCTATCTGATGTTGGGTGGCCAGTCAGGATCCAGACGGGAAGATCTGGACCGGGCATTGCATGCCATGGCTGGTTAGCTCAGACTGAGCCGTCGTGCAGTGGCTTGTTTCTTTTCTCCAAGGTTGGGGACAAAGGGTGGCGCTAGGGGAACAGCAGTCCCGGAGGCACCGACTTGAGTGTGGAGTGCCTCAGGGGGCGGTGCATCTATAGGCGCCCCCTTGCCCAGATTACCCGGAGGTTTGTGCTGGGATGTCACCTGTATGCTGATGACACCCAGCTCTATCTGATGTTGGGTGGCCAGTCGGACTCCAGCCCAGAAGACCTTGACCGGGCATTGCACGCCGTGGCTGGTTAGCTCAGACTGAGCCGGCTGAAGCTAAATCCGGCAAAGACAGGGGTCCTGTGCCTAGGTCAGGGCGGTTCGGGGTCGGGGCTCCCACTCCCGACCTTTGATGGGGCACCACTGGTGCCTGCATCGGTGGTTAGGAGTTCGGGAGTGCTCCTGGAACCCTCCTTGGCAACGGAGGCCCAGGTAGCAGCCACTGCTAAGTCGGCCTTTTACCATCTGTGGCTGGTTCGGCAGTTGGCTCCCTTCCTCGATCGCGCCGACCTGGCTACAGTGATCCACGCGATGGTCACCTCGAGGCTAGTCTATTGCAACTCTCTCTACATGGGGCTGGCCTTGTCGCAAATCCGGAGGCTGCAGCTAGTGCAGAATGCCACGGCCAGGCTACTGATGTGTCTCCCTAGATGAGAGCACGTCCGGCCCGCGCTGAAGGCACTGCACTGGCTGCCAATAGCATACCGAATTCACTTCAAGGTGCTGGTACTTACCTTTAAAGCCCTATACAGCCGGGGTCCGACATACGTGAGGGACCACCTTTCCCCATATATACCCCAGAGAGCACTACGGTTGGGGGCACAACACCGACTATCCCAGGCCCCAGGGTGGCCAGGCTCGCGGCTACCAGAGCCAGGGCCTTTTCAGTGGCGTCTCCTTAGTGGTGGAATCCAATGAGCTGCCCTGAGCCCACTCGCAGGGAGGGCAGGTTATAAATGTAACAAAACAAAAAAAGAAAAGAGCCCCTTCCCCTGTTGTCTTACAGGAGCAGCCCTTTAATGAACCTCTGGTGCAGTTAATTACTTACTTAATTGTTGTGCAAAAATGTTCAAGAGCTATAACTGTCCCTCTCCCTCTTTGTCTTGCAGAATGCGCTTCTGCCCGCAGGATTCCGGCAAAAGGACCAGACTGTCAAAAAGCCCTCCGGTCCTTTTGACAGAGAGAAACTCCTTGCGTATCTGGAGAAACAAGCACTGGAGCATAAGGACAGGGAAGACGTTGTCCCTTACACAGGAGAGAAAAAAGGTAATAACTTTCCCTATGAGGAAAGGTTAAAGCGCTTAGGGCTCTTTAGCTTGGAGAAATGACGACATGATCGAGGTTTATAAGATTATGCATGGGATAGAGCAGGTAGAGAAAGAGGTACTTTTCTCCCTTTCTCACAATACAAGAACTCGTGGGCATTCCATGAAATTGCTGAGCGGTCGGGTTAGAACGGATAA